GAAAAAAGAAGGAAAAAAAAGAAGAAAATATAAGTGTCTCCTCCTCTCCCTCTTCCTCCTCCTCTTCCTCCTCCTCCTCCTCCTCTTCCTCCTCCTCCTCCTCCTCTTCCTCTTGCTCTTCCTCTTCCTCTTCCTCCTCTTCCTCTTCCTCTTCCTGTTGCTCGTCATTATTTAGTGTCTCCTTTAGTAGGGGGGAAGAACAACGATTAGGGTTTGCGAGGGTTTTATATAAAAACCCTAATCTTCTTCTTCTTGATGAACCTTCTTCTTCCTTAGACCCTAATAATGAACAAATCTTCCTTGATACCCTGCACAGGATTGTACACCACCACCAGCAGCAGCAGCAGCAGCAGCAGCAGCAGCAGCAGCAAGGGCAGCAGCAGCTAGGGCAAGGGCAAGGGCAGCAACAAGGGCAAGGGAAAGGGCTGCATGGGCAAGAGCAAGGGAAAGGGAAAGGGAAAGGTCAGCAGCAAGAAGACCAACAGCAGCAGCAGCAGCTGGTGCAGCAGCAGCAGCAGCAGCAGCAGCAGCAGCAGCAGCAGCAGCAGCAGCAGCAGCAGCAGCAGCACAGAGTAAAGGGTGCATTAATAGTTGCACATAGTCCTGCAGTGTTTAGGGTTGCGTCACGAATAATAATAATAAAAAAAGGATCTATAGAGGAGACAGGTACTTCTGCAGAATTAATGGAGAAAAAGGGAGCCCTTTATTCCTTATTAAATAACCCTAAACCCTAAACCCTAAACCCTAAATTAGGGTTTATATAAAGGTGTGTAATAATGAATTAATGCAACAAAAAGGAGAGATTTACTCCCTATTAAATAGCCCTAAACCCTAAACCCTAAATTAGGGTTTAGAGAAGAATATGGTACTTATTAAGGTAAGCCCTTAATTTATTATTAAAAACTAAACCCTAAACCCTAAACCCTAAATAAGGGTTTAGGGAGAAATGTGGTTCAAGGACGAACTCTTTATTCCTTATTAAACCCTAAACCCTAAAAAAGGGTTTATGATTGAATATGGTGTTTATAAAGAATTAATGCAACAAAGAAGAACTCTTTATTCTTTATTCCTTATTAAACCCTAAACCCTAAACCCTAAATTAGGGTTTAGCGTAATATGTGCTAATTAACAACTCATACAACAACAAGCAATTCTTACTAACATATTAAACCCTAAACCCTAAACCCTCAGCTAGGCGTAGCCCACAAACCCTAAACTCTTGTAGAGCCCTAAACCCTAAACCCTGAGCTAGCCTTCAATGCTAAACCCTAAACCCTAACTATACCCTCTTATAGCTGTAAACCCTAAACCCTCATCTAGCCATAAACCCTAAACCCTCCACAGAGGTTTAAATATGTATGCTTATATAAATCCTTATAAACCCTAAACCCTCGCCAACAAACACAAAACCCTAAAAGTCTATTTCCTCCTAGACATCGACGCATGCGTATGTACGCCGTTGTGCTGCTGCTGCTGCTGCTGCTGCAGCAGCAGCAGCAGCAGCATGCACTTGCTGGTTGTTATTGTTGTTGCTGCTGCTGCATTACCTCGCTGTGCTTATTCATACTGGCATTATACCCAACGTCCTGCATCCTCTTCTTCTGCTATTGCTGCTGCAGCTGCTGCTGCAGCAGCAGCAGCAGCAGCAGCAGCAGCAGCAGCAGCAGGAATTATATAGGACCATGACGATGGTATGCAAGGAGACGAACAGCAAGACCGCCATTATTAAATCTTCCTAGTGATCTCCAAGCCAATATGTCCTCTCCTCTACTAGATAACGCAGCTGCATGCATGCAGACATGCATGCATACATGCACCAAACACAGCACAGCCCCAAATATGGTGATGCGTGCATGCAGTAATGCATGCAGTAATGCATGCATGTAGGGGTCAGGGTTGAGAGGAAGGGGGGCGACAGAAGGAGAGAAACAAGGTAAGACAAAAAGAGAGACAAAGAGAGACATAAAGGAGACAAAAAGAGAGAAGAGAGGAGACACAGCAGACGCCTAACCACAGCAGCTGTCTCTCTGCGCAGCAACAACAGCAGCACCATCAGCAGCAGCAGCAGCAGCAACAGCAGCAGCAGCAACAACAACAACTTACGAACAATCATGAATGCAGCAAGAACATGATGATTATTTATAATAGATTGTTGTATTCTTTTTATTAATAAGTGTCTCCTTTCCTTAAGGAGACACTTATACCCATAAGGACTATTTGTTATTATTACTGAATAAGGAGGAAGAGAATCTATTACCTATATACACGTACATATATACATATATACATATACATATATACGTATACGTATATGTATACGTATACGTATATGTATATGTATACGCATACATATACATTTATATAGGGGACGGGGACAGTAAAGGAGATAGAGAGAGGAGGGGAAACACGGGGTCATTTTTGCTGCTGTTGCTGCTGCTACTGTTGCTGCTGCTGCTGCTGCTGCTGTTGCTGCTGCTGCTACTGTTGCTGCTGCTGCTGCTGCTGCTGCTGCTTACTTTGGAGAAATCGGAGTGTATAAAGGAGACAGGACAAGGAAGAGACACTTCTGTACAAATACAACATTTAGGTGTATATACAACTTAATTAATAAAAAGATAAAAAGGAGACAATAAAGGAGACAATAAAGGAGACAATAAAGGAGACAATAAAGGAGGCAATAAAGGAGACAATAAAGGAGACAATAAAGGAGACAAAAAGGGAGACAATAAAGGAGACAAAGAGGAGACAGTTAAGGGGACAAAAAGGGGACAAAGGGGACAAAGAGGAGACAAAAAGGAGACAACAAAGGAGACATATAAAGTGCTACGCATGCATATACAAACACCGCATGCAACGGCTGCTGCTGCTGCAACATTACAACTGCTGCTGTTGCAACAATACGACTGCTGCTGCTGCTGTTGCTGCTGCTGCTGCTGCTGCTGTACCTTTGTTTGTGTCTCCTTTTGCTGTTGCATGCGTTGGGCAGCAAACGCGAAATCCCTCCAAATTTAATCGCGCATTCTAAGACAAAAAAGCACCACAGCAGCAGCAGCAACACAGCAGCAGCAGAAAATAGAAGTAACTCCACGAACCGAGGCGCCTTAGGCATATGCAGGCTTTCAGAGCGTAAGATTGTGGCGTCTCTTTATGTTTAGGGTTTACAGTTTAAGATTAGGGTTTAGGGTTTAGGGTTTAGGGTTTAGGGTTTAGGGTTTACACGATATCTAGACAATCAAGGAGGGCCTCAAATCGCGACTTAGAGTGACGGGGAAACTGCGAGCAATGCACAGCCTCTAAACATAGAGGAGCTCAGACTAGCTAGCTAGCTAGCTAGCTAGCTAGCTAGCTAGGTAGGTAGCTTCTTCGTTAGCTAGCTAGCTAGGTAACTAGGTAGCATATTATTTCCTGTGCCATGATAATGTCTAGCTGCCTCTTGATGTTGCCCCAGGCTGCACCCCCACCCAGCTAGCTGGCTAGCTAGCTAGCTGACTAGTTGGCCAACTAGCTAGCTAGCTAGCTAGCTAGCTATTTATTTTACCTTAAAGAAAGGGAAAGGATGATTAGGTGAATTAGGAGGAAGATTGGCAACAAGAGACAAAAACTCCAACAATAGACCACCACTACCACAAAAAGGATCCAATACTGTTAATCTGTACAAAAAAAGGAGACAAAAGGAGACAAAAGGAGACAAAAGGAGACAAAAAGGAGACAATAAGGAAGAAAAAAGGAGACAGGACAAACATTACCACAAAAAGGATCCAATACTGTTAATCTGTGTATATAAAAGGAGACAAAAAGGAGACAATAAGGAGACACAAGGAGGTAGAAGGAGACACCAGGAGACAAAAGGAGACAGGAGATAGGAGACAGGAGGAGACAGGAGACAGATAAGAGACAGTAGAAAGGAGACACAAAAAAGGGGACAAAAGAAAGGAGACAAAAGAAAGGAGACAAAAGAAAGGAGACAAATAAATTAAATGTCTACAAAAGGAGACACTTCCTGCAGCGAAATTCTTCCAGAAGCAGCAACAGCAACAGCAGCAACAGCAGCAGCAACAACAGCAGCAACAACAGCAGCAGCAACAGCAGCAACATAATATGTATGCTTACTGTTTATGCTTGGTGAGTAGATTAAGAATAGGAGACAAGAAGACAGCAGCAGCAGCAAGTGTCTCCTTTAGTGCAGCAACACCTTGACGTATTCGCCAAGGACGAGGTGTTAATGGACCTGTTGCTGCTATACTCACCTGCAGCAGCAGCAGCAGCAGCAACAGCAACAGCAGCAGCAGCATGTGCATATATACTGGCCAGCAGCAGCAACAACAACAGCAACGCCACTACCATGATCACAGCAGCAGCAGCAGTAAAACTAGCAGCAACAACAGCAGCACAAACACAACCACAGCAACAGCAGCGGCGCAATAAAAGCAGCAGCAGCAGCGACAGCAGCAGCAGCAACAGCAGCAGCAGCAGCAAGACGGACGGTGCAGATGTTGTTTTTTAAGCGGACGTAGATATGAGGAGGCCCTAAGGAGACAGCAGCAGCAGGAGACCGTAGGAAGGAGATAGCAGCAGCAGCAACAGCAGCAGCAACAGCACGACCAATAGCAACACCAGACGCGGCACCAACAGCAGCAACAGCACCACCACCACCACCAACAACAACAACAACAACAACAACAGCAGCAGCAGCAGCAGCAGCAGCCCTACCTCCTTGTTTATGTTTTTTATCATGTATTTTATCTATTGTTGTGTCTTGCTGCAGCAAGTGTCTCCTTTTGTCTCTTATTCCCTCCAGCACCAAATTAACTATTAAAGAACGGCAATATAAACGAGATGCATGCGTTGATACCTGCAGCAGCAGCAGCAGCAGCAGCAGCAGAAGCAGCAGCAGCAGCAGCAGCAGCGGCAACAGCAACAGCAACAGCAACAGCAAGAGAACATGCAGGAGTAAGAAGTACAGCAAGAAACAACAGGACGCGCAGGAAATAAACCGCTATCTAGCCGTTGCTGCAGCTGTTGTAGCTGCTGCTGCTGCTGCTGCTGTTGTTGCTGCTGCAGATGTTGCTGCTGTTGCTGCTTACAGACACTTTGGGCTCCGTAAAGTTGGCAGAGAATGCCACAAACCTCTCCCTGGCAGCAGCAGCAGCAGCACCAACAGAAGCACAGATAACAGCAACAGCAGCAGCACAGACAGCAGCAGCAGCAGCAGCAATGGTAGCAGCCATGTATTAACAACATAAATGAGGGCACCACAAGGAGCAGCACCACAAGCAGCAGCAGCAACAACAACAGCAGCAGCACGAGCAGCAGCAGCAAGAGCAGCAGCAGCAACTAGGAGAGCTTACCATGGAAGCGCTGCTACACCACGCGAGAGTTCCTTCTCCCCCCTGAGCAGCAGCAGCAACAGCAGCAACAGCAGCAGCAGCAGCCATGCAGTGCAGCAGCAAGACAACAGCAGCAACACCAACAGCAACAGTAGCATCAACAGCAGCACCAGCAACAGCAGCAGCAACAACAATAACAGCAGCAGCAGCAGCAGCAACAGCAATAGCAGCAGCACATCAACTAACCTGGCGACGAATGGCTCCCCAAGAACAACGCGTACTTCCTCAGTAACACGGCTGTAGCAGCAGCAGCAGCAGCAGCAAGAACAGAAGCAGCAGCAACAGCAGCAGCAAGAGAAACAGTATAAGAGACAGTATCTACAACTGTTGCTGCTGGTATGCTGCGTGCTGCATTCAGATATCCAACAGCAGCAGCGACAGCAGCAACAGCAGCAGCAACACCAACAGCAGCAACGGCAGCAGCAACACCAACAGCAGCACCAGCAGAAACAGCAGCAGCAGCAGCAGCAGCAGCAGGGTATACCTGCGTAGTGCTATATTCCATAGCAGCTCAGGGGGCCCCTTAACAGCAACACCTCCTTCTTGTATATCCGCAGAGACAACAGCAGATGCTGCTGCTGCTGCTTGTGCTGCTGCTGCTGCTGCTTGTGCTGCTGCTGTATCCCCTCTTGCTGCAGCAGCAGTAGCGGCAGCAAGATGAGGCTGTGGGGACAGCAGCAGCAGCTGCAGCTCCCTAGCTAGCAGCTCCTCTAGTCCAGGAGCACAGACACAAAACATCTGCAGTGTACGGTCACCTCTTACTGCTGCTGCTTCTGCTGCTGCTGCTGCTGTGTCTGCTGCTGTTACTTCTTCTTCTTCGTCTTCTAGATCTTCCTCCGCTGCTGCAGCAGCATTCATGCTGCTGCTAAACTCGCGACGCTGCTGCCACTGCTGCTGCTGCTGCTGCTGCGGCAGCTGCTGCTGCTGCAGCAAAGCTTTGCATGCTGCATTTCTGCTGCTGCTGCTGCTGCTGGAAATGGACGGGCCCGGTGCAGCAGCAGCTTTTGCTGCTGACGGAAAGCCTACAGGATAACAACATGCAGCAGCAGCAACAGCATGTCAGCAGCAACAGCAGCAGAAACATCAGTTGCACACACACACAGAAGCAGCAGCAACCGCAGCAACTGCTGCTGCGGAAGCAGCAAGAGCAGTAACGTCAACGTACCCCTATAGCAGCAAGAAGAGTAGGACCCTGAAACAGCTGCTGCTGCTGCTGCTGCGTATGTAGCAGCAGCTCTCGCTGCAGCTGCTGCTGCAGTCCGGCGAGCTGCTGCTGCTGCATGCGCTGTTCCCGCTGCTGGGTAGCAGCAGCAAATAGACCGTACACCCTGCTGCTGCTCCCGCAGCAGCAACTGCTGCAGCAAACCTCGCATAGTTGTAGGGGCCCCCAGGGGCCCCCAGAGGGATCTTAACTCTAAACCCTAAACCCTAAACCCTAGTGGTGTCTTCTAAGGTAGAAAAAAAGAAAATTGTATAACACGACATAATGCCAACCACTGTTTAGGGCTTAGGGTTTAGGGTTTAGGGTTTAGTGGTAAGGGTTTAGGGTTTAGGGTTTAGGGTTTAGGGTTTAGGGCCCCCTGCAGCAGCCCCAGAAGATCGTTACATCGAGCAGAAGAAAACTCTAATAGTTAAGAGATGAAACCCTAGCAAGAAATAAAGAAGATTAGGGTTTAGGGTTTAGGGTTTAGGGTTTAAGGTTTAGGGTTTAGGGTTTAGGGTTTAGGGACTGTCGAGACAACTGAATCGGCGGTCGGCAGCAGGGGGGTTTTGCCTTCTTCTTTCCTTTTTTATTCTTTTTTTCTTTTTTATTTAATTTAAATAAAATAAATTAAATAATTTATTTAAATATAGTAAATATGGGCTACTTAGCAGCAGCAGCAGCAGCAGGAGCAAGTGCAGCAGCAAGAGCAGCAGCAAGAGCAGCAACACACGATGAAACAACTTTGCACGGGCAATGGGAAGGTTGCTGCTGCAGTTGCTGCAGTTGCTGCTGCTACAACACCAACAGCTGCAGCAAGACAGAAGCTGGTGACAGCAGCGGCTGCAGTAGCAACAGCAACAAGGGCATTTACGACTGCAGCAGCAGGAACAGCAGCAGCAGGAGCAGCAGCAACAGCAGCATCAGCAGCAGCAGATACGGGCACATCTTCGGGAGGAGCAATCCTTCTGCCGCAGCATAGAAGTAGCTGCGGGAATGAGCAGCAGCAGCGACAGCAGCAGCAACCACAGCATCGGCAACTGCAGAGTTGGCAGCAGCAGCAGCAGCAACAGCAGCAGCAGCAGCAGCAGCAGCATCGTGGTCTCATCCAAGTTGACTTGGAGAGCCGAAAGGGGCAGAAGCTTATCCGCTCTGTTGGTGCTCTTATGCTGCAGAGGAAACGGCAGCAGCAGCAGCAGCAAAACTTGCAGCAAGGGCAGCAGCAGCAGCAGCAGCAGCAGCAGCAGCGAACTCCAAGAGTGCCATTTACACCTCGTGGGCGTTTTTCAGGCGTCGTTCGAGCAGCAGCATCAGCAGCAGCAGCTGCTGCTGCTGCTCCAAGTGCAGCAAATGCAGCAGCAAATGCAGCAGCAGCGCCAATGACTGTGCTACCAGGAACAGCAGCAGCAAGAAGAGCAGCAGCAGCAGCATTTGCTGCTGCTATGCCCGCAGGTTTATCTCCTCTAGTAAAGGCTGAGGTGTCAAGACACTGCATGGCTGTCTTGCTGCAGTTGCTGCAGCAGCAAAAGGCATCTACTGCTGCTGGTGCTGCTGCTGCTGGCTCTGTTGCTGCTGCTGCTGCTCCTAAGGGGAGTGTATGCGAGGTAGCCCGCTTCCCGCTGCTGGGGGCCTTCCTGCATGATGTTGCTGCAGCAGAGCATCAGCTGCTGCTGCAGCAGCAACAACAGCAGCAACTCAGCAAAGGGGCAACAACAAGGAGGAGCAGCAGATTGCTGCAGCTACAGCAGGAGCTGGAGATACACCGCAGCAAGTTCTTTAGTGAGCAGCGCAGGAACGACATCGAAGGGATTCAAGCAGCAGCAACTGCAGCAGCAACTGCAGCAGCAACTGCAGCAGCAGTAGACGCCAGCACCGCCGGAAGCAAGTTGCTGCCAAGGCCTCTCTGTTTGCTGCTGCAGCAGCTGCTGCGGCGAGCAGCAGCACGAGCCTCCTTAGGAGACATCGACCATTTGCTGCAGCTGTACGTGACCAGTGGTCAGCTGCACCTCTTGCATGCAGCACAGTGCAGCAACAGCAGCAGCAGCAGCAGCAAATCCCTGCACGCAGCAGAGGGAGACACCTCATGGCTGCACGAAGCGTTTGCGCCGGACGTGCTGCTGCTGCTGCTGCAACGAACGCTACGACTCCTGAAGAAGCAGCAGCGGCAGCAGCAGCAGCAGCAGCAGGAAGAAGTGCCACCGATTCAACCAACTGCAGCGCGTGTTGTGCTGCTGTCAGCTGCAGCAGCACGCACATGCAGCGATCTGGCAGCAGCAACAGCAGCAGCAGCAACAACAACAGCAGAAACTGCAGCAGATGCACCATCTTTATTGGCAGCAGCAGCAGCAGCAATAGCAGCAGAGCTGCAGCAGCTGCCGCTGCCCACTAAAGGGGAACCAGCAAGAGACCCAACTCTCCCTGCAGCAGCAGCAACACCAGTAGCAGCAACAACAGCAGCAGCAGCAGCAACACCAGCAATAGCAGCAGCCGTGCCACTGGACACTGTAGATGAAGCAGTGCTAGGAGCTCCTACAGCAGCAGATGCTGCCGTTGCTGCTGCTGCTGCTGGTACTTCTGCTGCTGCTGCTGCTGCTGCTGAAGGTTATTATGCATGCAGCACTCGCCACGGTCGCCAGGTGCTGCGTCGCTGCTGGCGCCTGTTGCTGCAAATGCAGCAACTGCAGCGGGAGCAGCAGCAGCAGCAGCGGACCCTTCTTCCCCGAGTGTCACCGCTGCAGCAGCAGCTGCTGCTGCTGCAGCAGACAGGAGACACAAAAAAGGTAAGAGGGAATCTCTTTGCTATGCCGCTGCCGCAGCTGCTGAAGTTAATGTACACAGTCATCAACAGACTGCTGGGGCAGCAGCGGAAGCAGCAGCAGCAGCAGCAGGAACAGCAGCAGCAACAACAACAACAGGAAGAGCAGGAGGACCAGCAGGAGCAGCAAGAACAACAGCAGCAGTTACAGTTACAGCAGCAACAGCAACAGCAACAGCAGCCGCACCAGCATAACGAAGTGCAGCTACACAACCAGCCGCAGCAGCAGGAACAGCAGCAGCATGAGGAACTGCAACAGCAGCAGCAGCAGCCGGTTGCAGCAAAGGGGCTAGGGCGTCGGTTGCTGCAGCAGCGTCTGCTGCAGCAAGACACTAAAGGAGAGAAGCATCGACTGCAGCAGCTCCCGCAGCACATGCTGCTGCTACAGCGGCAGCAGCAGCAACAGCTGCTGCTGCTGCTCGCGGCCCACGTGCTGCTGCTAAAACTGCGCAGCAGCAGCAGCAGCAACAGCAGCAGCCGCCCACCGAAGCGGCACCTCGTGTGCTGCGTCCATGCCCTATCCCGTCTACAGCGTGCTGCAACACAGCAGCAGCAGCAACAGCAGCAGCAAGGGCAGCAAGCTATTCCAGCAGCAGCAGTAGCTTATATTGGTCCCCTTAGTTTGCTGCTGCTGCTGCAGCTGCCGCAGCAGCAAATACGTTCGTTGTCTCTAAAACACTTCGTGTGTCTCTTCGATGCTGCTGCGCATTTGCTGCCGCTGCTGCTGCATTTGCTGCAGCAAGCAAGCATACAAACCGCATGCATTACTACTGCTGCAGCACCGGCACTCTCCATACCTGCTGCTGCTGCTGCTGCTGCTGCTGCACCAACCAGCCCAACACCAGCTGCTTCTGCGGCACCAGCCCTCTCAGCACCTGCTGCTGCTGCTGCACCAGCACCAGCTTGCTCAGCACCTGCTGCTGCTGCTGCTGCTGCTGCTGCAGCAAGCGAGCTGGCAACAGCGCAAATTGTGCTGTACAGACACCTTAAGGAGCTGCAGCAAGTTGCTGCTAGTCTCCTAAGTGTATGTGTCTCCTTTGAGCAGCAAACCCTTCCCCGTGCTGCTGTCCCTGCATTAGGTGCAGCAGCACGCAGCGTCCTGCAGCAACTGCAGCACCAGGCGCTGCTGCTGCAGCAGCAGCCACAGCAGCAGCATACAGGTGTATATGCAGCTCTATCTCGTGCAGCAAGAAGGAAACTTTGTGGGTCTGCTGCTGATGCCCTGCAGCATCTGTTTTGTGCTGCTGATGTTGCTGCTCTTGCTGCTTCATACGAAGAGCTTGTTGCTGCTGCTGCTGCTGCTGCTGCACCTAATGCAGCAGCAGCAGCAGCAGCAGCAGCAAAACCTGGCTATTTAACTTAGTTAATTTCTTTAGACGTGACGAAGTGCATCACCCGTAGCCATCTCTAAGTGTATCTATAAGGTGTCTCCCTCCAGCAGCAAGAGCAGCAGCAGCAGCAGCAGCAAGAACAGCAGCAGAAAAGAGACACACGCGCTGCTGCTGACAGCAATAAAGTAAATAGGAGTTTTATTAATTCTATACAGGAGGTAAAAACCCTAAAAAAGAAGAAGAGGAAAAGAAAGTTATTAACATAAAAACCCTAAACCCTAAACCCTAAACCCTAAACCCTCGATAGGCAGAGATGACAATTGCCTAGGAGGGTTTATATAACACCTTCCCTCCTGCTAGCGTAGCCCCACAACTGCTGCTGCTATACTGCAGCACATTCAGTTGCTGCTGCTGCTGCTGCTGTTCCTGCTGCTGCTGCTGCAGTGGTTAGCTGCTCCCGTGATTGCAGCTGGTGCTGCCTCTTGGCACTGCTCCCGCTGCTGCTGTTGTTGCTGTTGTTGTTGCTGCTGCTGCTGCATCTACAAGTGCTGCTCCAGCTACTACTACTGCTGCTGCAGCTATAGTCAATACTGCTGCTGCTGCTGTTCGCGCTGCTGCTGCCGCTGCTGCTGCTCGTATTACTAGAGGTCTATAACCTTCCTAGCAGCAAATAGGGCCTCAAGGGCCTCCTCATCAATTCTTTGTGCGAGGCCCTTCCCTTTACGCTCAAGAGACAGGCGCACAGACTCTGCTGCCTGCAGCAGCAGCAGCAGCAGCAACAACAACAGCAGCACCAGCAACAATAGCAAAAGCAGTAGCAGCACGAGGAGTAGCAGCAGGTGCAACAGATGGATTAAAACAACGGCAAAGACACAACAGCAGCAGCAGCAGCAACAGCACCAGCAGCAACAGCACCAGCAGCAACAGCGGCAGCAGCGTAGGGTTTGGGTGTACGTACACTCGCAGCTGCAGCAAGGGCAGCATTGCGTTGCTGTTGAGGACGGCGTCTGTATAAAAAAAAAGGACACAAGAAAGGAGACACAAGAAAGGAGACAAAATACAATAAGGAGACAGTAAAGGAGACAATAAAGGAAACAATATAGGAGACAATAATGAGACAAAAAAGGAGACAAAAAAGGAGACAAAAAAGGAGACAGTATATATACCTTTTATTAGGATTAAGTAGTTGTTCTTTTTCTTTTTGTTTTTTTTGTCTTAGTCTTCTATGTACCTCAGGCATTATATCCTTTGTTAGGTCGTCCCTATTAGCAGCACATGCATGCAGCAGCAGCAGCAGCAGCAAATGCATGAACCAGCAGCAATAGCAGCAGCAGCAATAACAGCAGCAGCAGCAGCAGCAGCAGGCGTACCAGATAAGTGCCTTAGTTTGTCTTTCTTCCTCATTAAGAAGCATATCTGCTACTGTATCATCATCATCATCATCTTCTTCTTCTTCCTTTTCCCCCTGCTGCTCCTCATAGTCAGCAGCAGCAGCAGCAGCACCTGTTGCTGCTCCTCCTGAGGCTGCATGCAAAAAGTAAGCTTCATCGCTGTTTGCTGCTGCTGCTGCTGTTGCAGATCCTTGTGTCTCCTCAGGAGGCAGCAACTCATCAGCTCTTGCCTGAGGAGACACCGCAGATATGGACACAGATGCATGCAGTACAGCAGCAGCAACAGCAGCAACAGCAGCAACAGCAGGAGCAGCAACAGCAGCAGCAGCAGCAGCAGAAAAGTAGTGGATCCTTACCCTGACAGATCTGAGGAGATCAGCGAGAGGATTTTCGCTTTCTGTGATTCGCACTGTCTCCTCTTCTCCCTCTGCTGCTGCTGCTGCTGCTGCACCTGCTGCTGCTGCTCCTGCTGCTGTTTGCATGCCTTGCTGATTGTCTCCTGATGCAGAGCCTGTTTCTTTCGTGTCTGCTGTGGAGCTGTCTCCTCCTGCTGCTGTTGCTGCATTTGCTGCATCTCCTGCACCTGCTGCTCCTGCTGCTGCTCCTGCTGCTGCTCCTGCTGCTGCTGCTGCTTCTTCTGGATTAGAGGTACTAATTGTTTGGACTATCCAACCAGCTACAGACAAGATGTCTCCTGAGGAAGGAAGCTGTAGCGCAGCAGCAGCAGCAGCAACAGCAGCAGCAGCAGCACACGAGATACAGCGATGAGACACTAAAAGGAGACACTAAAAGGAGACACTAAAAGGAGACAGCTAACTAACCTCGTTGCAGACAGCATCGTTGCCAGCACCAAGAGGCAAAGGCCTCCCCTCTGTCTCCTTTTGTCCATCTGTTGCTGCTGCTGCTGCTGCTGGTGGCTCTGCTGGTTCATCTGCTGCCTCTGTTGCTGGTGTTGCTGCACAGACAAAAGGAGACAGCAGGCAACTAGGTAAATAAAGATAAAAGAACAACATTGCTGCTGCCTCTTGCTGCTGCTGCTGCTGCATCTTGATGCTGCTGCTGCTGCCTGCTGCTGCTGCGCACCTGCACTTCCGTCTTTGAGTTGAAGTGTCTCCTTCTCTGCTGCAGACAAAGAGACACACAAACACAAGCAGCAGCAGCTGCTGCAGCACGAGAAGCAGCAAACAGCAACAGCAGCAACAAACAGCAACACAGGTGCAGGAAACAGCAGCAACACAATAATAATAACATTTTATAAATTCTTACCATCTAATATCTGTGGTGGTTGCTGCTGCTGCTGCTGCTGCTGGTGTCTCTTTTTAGTAAGACGACAAGGAGGAAGAGGGAGAGCAGGCAACTGCAGCAAATCTGTCTCCCCTAGTGCAGCAGCAGGAAGCTGAGCAACTGCTGTCCTCTTGAATTCATATAAACGTTTAGATAATGTAGGGGACGATATACGTACTGCCTAAGAAAATAAATAAATAAATAAATAAATAAATATATAAATAAATAAATAAGGAGACAATTAAAAGGAGACACATAAAGGGAGACAGGAAGCGGGCAGGAAGGAGAAAGGAAGGAGACAGGGAGGAGACAGGGAGGAAACAGTGAAGAAACAGAAGAAAGGAGACAGAAAGGAAACATAAAGGTGACACAAGGAAGGGGACACAAAAGAGGAGACATTAATGAGAAAAAGGAGACAGCAAAGAGAGAGAGAAGAAAGGGGACAGGGGAAAGGAGACAGTAGGGAGAGAGAAAGGAGACAGTAAGGGGACAATAAGGAGACAAAAAAGAAAGGAGACAATAAGGAGAAAAAAGGAGACAAAAAAGAAAGGAGACACTTACTGCAGCAACTTGTTCTGCATCAACATGTACTTCATGATAACGAGCAGCAATTAGCAGAGCAGCACCACATAAACCCATTGGTCTCCTTCCTGTTGCAATCCAGTCCCTCTTCATTGCCTGCAGCAGCAGCAGCAGCAACAGCAGCAACAATAGCAGCAGCAGCAGTGAAGATAGCAGCAGCAGCATCAGCATCACCACCACCGCCACCAAACAACGACAGCAACAGCAAGAGCAGCACCACCACCACGAGGCACCATCCCTCTCCCCCACCACCAAACAGCAACAGCAACAGCAGCAATAACAGCAGGAGCAGCAACAGCAGGAGCAGCAGGAGCAGCAGGAGGAGTACCTGTACAAGTCTAACAGCAGTCTGTGCTATGATTTGTGTTTTATCATTAAATTTTAATTGTGATGCAAATCGATCCAAATATAAAGATGGATCCACATGAGGTACTTGGACGTGTAGGACACGTAATAACTTTATAAATACCTAAATATATATATATATATATATTGTAATAGTAGCAGCAGCAAATGCAGCAAATGCAGCTAATTTGGATATGGATAGGAAGAGGAAAAACAGACAAATTCAACAAGGGGTCATAAGATAGGGGTATCTATAGTGGCTCCTGTTGTAGGTACAAAGGTGGAGGTCAAGGGAAGATGCTGCAGCAGCAGCAGCAGCAGCAACAGCAGATGCTGCTGCTGCTGCTGCTGCTTAAGAGGAAGTAAAAGAAGCAGAGGAAGTAATAGGTTCTTACCTGGCCCAGAGAACGGACACTGACTCTGCAGCACAACAGCAGCAACAGCAGCAACAGCAGCAACAGCAGCAACAGCAGCAACAGCAGCAGATATATTATTACCAAGGCCATGCCCCCTCCAGCAGATTCAGTGAATTGGAGTCCCTCAACAATTCCGCTCTCCTCTAGGACAGCCCCACACCTGTGCATGCATGCATGCACAGCAGCACAATATAACAAATGCATGCATGCATGTATGCATGCATGCATTCTGCTGCTGCTGGTGTTGCTATTGCTCCTGCTGCTCCTGCTGCTGCTGCTGCTGCTGCTGCTGGTAGGAGAGGGGTACCTAACCTGCAGCAAGTAAGTTCCCCCTTATGCTCGCTGCGCTCCAACTCATCACTGCCGCAGAAGCGGCAAGTCTTTGGGTTACTCATTGTGGTGTATCCTCAGCTATACAGAATACTCAATGCCTGTTGCTGCTGCTGCTGCTGCTGTTGTTGTTGTTGTTGTTGTTGTTGTTGCTGCTGCTGTTGCTGTTCCTGCTGCTGCTGCAACAGTCTCTCCCTCTGTTCTCGTCCTTCTTCTGTCTCTTTTAGGTATAATAAAGGGTCTTCTGTTTCCTTAATGAGACCTCGGCGCCCCCCTTCTTATGAGGCTTAGGGTTTAGGGTTTAGGGTTTAGGGTTTAGGGTTTAGTAGGAGGGAATTTCTTTCTTTGTTTATGTCTTTTCTTTCCGTTGCTGCTGCAGTGTCTTCTTACTTACGAGGCAGGAAAACGCATGCAACGGATTAGGTATAACTTGGAGCTTGGCAGAAGGTACTGAGGGCCCCCCCCTCTTTCTCCTTGAGAGGCCCCCACTCCTTATCCTCGAACGCCCCCCTTCCCTTCTCCTTATGGGGCCCCCAGGGAAGCAGAGGGGCCCCAGGAGGCAGCAGCAGCAGCAGCAGCAGCACTTGTTGTATTGTATGCACTGAGCTGTCACTACCGCAAAACAGGAAAGGTAGTCCCGCGTCTGCTGTTGCTGTTGCTGCTGCTGCTGCTGTTTCTGCTGCTGTTACTCCTACTGCTGTTGCTATTGCTGCTGCTGCTGCTGCTCTACAGTCGCCGCTCTCTGGTGAGCGCTGGGGGCCCCGCAGGCCCTATCTACTGCTTAACAGTGCTGCTGCTGCTGCTGCTTCTTTATGATTAAATAAAGAATATAAGGAAATAAAATACTTTGCATGCAAATTAAATTATTAATTAATTTTATTTTTAATCCCTGAGGAAAATTATGCTGCAGCATGATGCCCCCTAGCAGGCAACCGTTGCCTTGGGGGCCCCCGGGGTTGGGGGCCCCTGGGGGGCCCCCAAGAGGAGCCTCAAAAAGGGTACTAAAGCCTGTTAATAAAACATTTTATCTTTTTAAGGATATTTATCTTAATAATAGGGTACCTATCTACTATAGAGTAAGAAATACCCTTGGGGTGATGTGCCTATACACCTCAACTACCCCACTACCACCACCTGCAGCAACACGACTGCTGCAGCAACTGCCCCCGTGTCGCCCCTTGCTGCTGATCCGTATCTAGTTCGTTGCTGCTGCTGCTGCCCCCGCTGCAGCAACAGCAGTGCCTAGTCCCCTAGCTCTTTGGATGCTGCCCCGCTGCTGCTCCTAAGGCGCTATGGCGCTACTAAGAGGGACCCATTAGAACCCCTGCAGCAACGGCAGCAACAGCAGCAGCAGCAGCAGCAGCGACTGCTGCAGCAGGAGCATCCTTGCCCCTCAACAATGCAATGTAATGCTGTACGTACACCGTAAGGGACGTAACTAAAACACAACCAATTGTTTAATTAAATAATTAAATTGCCTAGGAGAGCAGCAAAACAAAAGAGAGAAAGAGCACTTTAGTAGTGCCCTGTTTTCCTGTTTCTCTCCTGTCTTATCAGTCTTCCTGTAAGGGAAAAAGGAATCAAAATGGGGCCCCCATGGGGCCCCTGTGATTCCTTTTCCCCCCAAGGGGGGCCCCACTGTGGGGACGCACGAAGGAATCCCCACTGTGAGGAACTCCAAAGGTGTCCCCTCTATAGGGGCCTCCAAGGAACCCCTACTGCGAGGGCCCCCCATGGGGCGCAACGTGAGGGCCCCCCATGGGGCCTCCCATTGCGAGGGGCCCCGTGGGGCCCCTATGGGGGCCCCTAATTAACCCCCACCGTGCCCAAGCTTTTGCTGTAAGTGGCATAATTCATTTAGATGCTCTTAGAGAGCCATGCGAATCATTCGGATACTGCTGTTGCTGTTGTTGTTGCTGCTGCTGCACCAGCAGCAGCAACAACAGCTGCTGCACCAGCAGCAGCAGCAGCAGCAACAGCGATTGGGGGAGCTGCAGCAACGGCTGCTAGCAGCAGCAGAGGTTGTCTCTCGCCCCACATACTTATCTACAAAAGAGCATGTTGGATATAACGGCATTTCCTATTCTTCCTGCTGTAGCACGAACAACAGCAGCAACAGCAGCAGCACCTACTGCTGCTGTTGCTGCTGCTGCTGCTGCAGGAGATGATTATACACCGAGATCCGGCTGTTGGGCATCATTTTTTTGTGCAATAATTTGGTAAGACACACCCTTATGCAGGGAGCCATGAATAATAATTAAGGAGACACATAGTAGCAGCAGAGACACAACAGCACTACCTGCTAGCAGCAAAGCTAAACAAGTGCTGCATGCGCATGCAGCACCTTGAAAACTCTTCTTAGGGATTGTTGTGTCTCCTATCTGTACACAGCAGCAGCAGCAACAGCAGCACCATAAATACAGCGCATGCAGAGACAACACGCACAAGGAGACAAAAGGAGACACAAGGAGACAGTAAAGAGAATAAAAAGAAATAAAGAAAAGATACAAAAGTTATCTAATAAAAGGAAGAAAATAAACAACAAGAATATCCATGACACCCAAACTGTTGCTGCAACAAGTACTACTACTGCTGCTGCTGCTACTGTTGCTGCTGTTGCTGCTGCTGTTGCTACTGACTGACCTGTACTTCTCCCTTGATGGATGCATAAGAGCATAGAGCAGCACATACAGCTGCAACAGCTAATAGTGTAGGATTAAGAATAGCACATAAGAAGGATAAGACAAAAAATATACAAAAATAATTCGTCATAAAATATTTTATATTCCTCTCTATACGATCTACTGCTGCTGCTCCTGTTGATGGACGACTAAATGCAGCAGCAGCAAAAAATTCAGGCCAAGGAGCGCAGCGGCTTAATACAGATCTATGCAGTGCTAAATATACACCATGAACCTGCAGCGGCAGCAAACAAGACAAACAATTAAGGAGGAGAGCAACACATAAGGATAACAGCAGCAGCAGCAGAACAGGAAGAGAGCAACAGCATCATCAATGGGGAGAGGCAGCAGGAGAGGAGAGGAATAACGCAAATAGAGGAAAGGGAAGCTTCCATGCGGCACAACAGCAGCAGCAGCAGCAGTTGTAGTGTACAAAATGTTCTGTGCTGCGTGCAACTCTTTAGCCATTATAAATAAACGTGCAGACACTCGCGTGTAGGCAGCAGCAGATGAAGACAAAGATATAAGGAGGACAAACAGCAGCAGCAACAGCAACAACAAACAGATTACGCCACCCAATAGAGGACGCGCCGCGTTTTATGCTGTCTAGTAAGGAGGGAAGGAAAGAGAAAGGGGGAACGAGGGAACGCGAGGAAAATGCGTTAGTTAAATAAATAGAGGATCACCTGAGAAACAGCAAACTTAGCTCCTGCAGGACTCTTCCGGCTGTCTAATGTGCCGCTTAGTTCAGAAGCAGAGGGAGGACTGCCGCCTAGGCAAACTGTTGGTCTACTCTCTGGCTGCTGAGGAGGAGATGATATATTGTCTGCTGCAGATTGCTGCAGAGAAGTATCTGTTGCTGCACTTGCTGCAGGAGAAGCGGAGCCAGAGAACATAGGATGCTGCGGCGCGTCGCTGGCGTAGAAGTCATCTAGGGCAGAGGCGGACTGCGTAGCCGCAGTGCTGCTGCCGAAGGTATCCATCATCATCTTTATGTTGCATGCAAAGAGAAAACAAAGTAAATACAAAAAAAAGAAGAAAAAACAAGGAAAAACAGATTCAAATGATCTGATTTCCTCCCCGACGCCACGGATGACGAACGGAAACCGGAAACCTACTTCGGGTGTATGCACAGCTCAAACCCACCGGAAGATGCGCCTCCTTGATATTTATAATAATTCAATTCGTATATTGTTAAAGAAGGATAATAAAGACTTAAAGCTACCCATTTACCCAACTAGTGCAGAGAAGAGCTGTGCAGCTGCCGCCGTCCCGCCGGTCAGACTCGGCAGCATGCTTACTGCTGGGGTGTCTGTGCACTTTCTGTTGCCATTACATGAGTGTACACCCTACTCCATTTTTATTCTTTATATATGCCTACTGTTCAACTAGAATCTATTTATAATCGCTTCTCCTAACCCCCCTACTACCGACTTACTCCTGCTCCCCATACATCACACCACTGGGGGCTCTTGGGTCCCTGGCTAGCGCCAAGGCGGCTGCTCCTTTACTTATAGACATGATTCACAAAAATCACAATTATTCGTCTAAAGGAAAGCACCACATCTTTCGTGTGCATGCCTTCCGAGGAACAATCAACAGCTTAACCCTAGACACGGTGAGCAATTAGGTGACCCTCGGCTGTAGTTGTCGTTATTAGAATAAACGTTCTGGGCGTGTGCACGGTGGTTCCCGTATGTTTAAATTCCCCAAATAGAAACTGTTTTGACAGTTAAACTAACCCGTAAGTTGCCTCCGTGCGACGCGCCGTGTACCAGGTTCCGCATGATGTTGGCACATGCATGCGTATTGCATGCAACGTGGCCCATGAGGTACAAATGGATGTTCAAAAATTGTATATACTGTAAGTGCATGCATGAGCGGCTTGAACACCTACACCTGGGGAGTTGTCATGGACCAGCAGTTGCACAGGACGCAGCAGCACACACAAAACTGCCTCCCACACGCAGCAGCCAGTTTCTTGGTGCAGGTGGTCCCAGCCTTCTTGGGGACTGTTAAAAGGCTTAGCGACTGGTTGAACTACGTGGGGGCCACTGTAAGCCAGAAATTCAATAGAGATTTATTATGTGCACCTTGCCCCCCACTTGGAGCTACCTCTTCACTCCGAGCTTCGTTGTGGCTGGATCCCTCTTCAGCAGCGGTAGCATTAGTATGAGGTATAACATGGCGGAAAAACTTAAGGTGGCACTCCACGAAAGGACACTCATTTTCCAGGCTTAATACACACGGCTGCCTGCACAATTGTTTGAGCAGGGGGCAGCAGAGGCAGCCGGCAGTCATTTCGTTATTCCAGTATGAAGTGAAAAGCTTTGCAGCTTCACCGTGCTCTTCTGATGTTCATCTTCCACATGAGCAGGGTCAATTCCGCTGAACTGATTTCATTTTGGTTAAACGGCGTACTGTTTGAGGCATAGAATAGTGGGACGGAATCTACCGTAATCGCCAGAGCGGCCCCCCAGCAAGGGTATACTCTTGTTTACCAAGCCACGAAGCAAAAGGTGAGCAGCCAGACAACCCACAGAAGAAGTGGAGGAAAAACAGGTAATAGAGAATCTGCTGAAGATATTTCAGGTAAACGCTGTTGCTGATGTTGCATTGACCCAGAAAGGAATGTGACGGACAATCCGTGTCAAACCTATCCACTAGGAATGATACTACCACAAATATGGGAAAATCGGGATGAAGGGCTACTCCAAGGGCCGGCGGCAGTGCATAAACCAGCTAGACCGTGGACTGACGGGGAATTGAACCCCGGACCTTTTGCATGCGAAGCAAACGTGATACCCCTACACCATCAGCCCTCTGTAGGGGCACCTCCCAGCCCAAGTACAGTCTCACACACGACTTAAGAACTCCACAGTAAGCAGGCGAACGAAAGTGCCACATGCCTGAGGGTTGAAGGAGTTATGAGGACCAGATATTCCTAAACGTAGGTTTCTACAGCCTCGCCAAGGCGATGGTGTTCTGAACTAAGCGTATATGCTTCAGGGGCAAGATGAAAGCCAGTATTAACAAACAATGGTGCATAGACGAGCAACATCCACGAAACATGCTCTAAACTGTTCCTAGAGGGGCCTTCTGGAATCTCATAAGAGGTTTAAGGCACGAGGCAAGACGTGGGGGCAGGGACAATGCGTCACTGGAACAGGAGTACGAGAGTTGGAAGGCCCCAAGGGATATACAGTAAACTGTGGACCGTTGACAAAAAAACAGAAAAGCAAAGGAGCAGGCTTAATAGGCCAAGCTATAGCCTAAGCTCTCCAACTACGTTGCCTGTTCTGAGCATACACGACCGCCGGCAGATACTTGGCTGACACCTGCTGCTAAAATTGTCTGTTATGCATACATACGGGATCCTGGCGAGCAAACACATGTGTAGCATGGTACTCATATCATATGTTTATGGGGGGTCCTGAAGTTCATCAAAGGGCTTATGCTCGCTGGGGTGGCGCCAGTTTAAGATTTGGTGAAACTCTTTAAGCCCTCTGTGGGTAGTGTCCCAAGTGCTTAGAACAGCTGTAGTGGATGCGGATTTGAGACACATCACAGTGCAAACAATGCAAAGCAGCCCTGTTTGCAAGCCGAAGCAGCTATTCTATGTTTCATTTAGTGGCACTGTGGGAAAATGTTGGCGGCCAATGCAGGCGAAAACTTTCCTCCTTGCCTTCAGGTTGCCTATCAAGGCCGACTGAGCGTTAAACTGTCACCTGTGGATAGGCTACGCCACAGCTGCAGCCCTTGATGCAGCAAGGGTCCTGTATCTTATAAATGAGGGCTGTTGTTAGTTGCAAGAAGGCCAGCACACATGCGTGCTCCTCAAATGCCAGATCCTCCCCATTCTCCAGTCTTCCCGAAATTAACTGCTTAAGTATCTGGACCAATGTGAGAGGAGGCAGCTGTCTGCCCTAAGTTACAACGCGCATTGCTGCAGCTCAAAGTGCGAGCCAGCCCCACAGAAAAGCAGAGACGATCGTTCACGGCTGTTTGTAGAAACACTGCAGACAGTTGTCAACGAATTCTGGTTGCGGACTGCTAAACTATTAGGACAGGCTAAATATTTGTGCACCCACTCCAGAGCGGCCCGCGCACTTGCAGAAATTGCACACTTTGCTACACTCCCATACACATGCACACGACGGATAAGCTCTGTTGTCCCATCAAGATACCCTTCAGGTTGCCACGTACCACAGTACCAGCTACGCAACCAACATTTACGTGCAAAACCGACAAGAAACCGAACTACCCACCCAGAAAATCGCAACATTTCACACGCGCATCGATGGCCGCCATCCACAGAGTTGCCGGACCAAGTAACTTTCCGCAGCACAGATGCATGCCAGTAGGGAAGCCGAAGTTTTCTGGTGATGATTTGTACGAAGGAAGTCGTAAGCATGCAGAAACCACCAATTCTCCACCTCTACGTTACGAGACAACGCAAGACGGGCACCTGGAGCTCAGTGGGGAGGTGCGCTAGAATGGAGCCGGCCCAGGAAAGTGAAGTACCATCTTAGTGTCTAAAATTTTAAAGGCAACTACCATGTTTTGTGTAAGCATTTTATTTTGTTCGGAACCTCTCCCTCCGGTTGACAAACCGACGCCCACAGCAAAGGCGCGGCAGGGTAGATGACGTGGAACGAATGCATGAACGCTGCAGTGAATGCGCATAATGTGCTCTACGAACGAGACAAAATAAAAAGACAAGAAGTGTGCTGCCTTAAAAAGATGAGACGGGCCAAACGCGGTTGTGTGGGGCGTAAAGCGATAGGGGACAGATGATGGCTGCTGCAGCATTTGCTGCGCGCACTGTTCTGGCATCTCACGGCGTTACCGTCTACATAGGCTGGCGGCTGCGCCGACTGGGTATGCGAGTGTCCCTAAATTGTTTTTCTCTTTGTATTTCGCGTATATTCCACAGCAGCTCAAAGGCCTTTGCGACCCAAGACATAAGAATGGCTCGCAAGAGGCGGACTGAAGGAGAGGCGGCTGCTGCAGCCGGCGGCGCCGCGCCCGCTGCTAGTAGGAAAGGACAGCCTGTGGACAGTGCCTCCAAACCCAGTGACGCAGCCTCGAGCAATGCCTCCAAAGCAAGCCCTGCTCATGCGCAGGGCAAGCAGAGTAGGCAGGGAGGGGAGGCCGCGTCTCGCCAGGGAGTTGCGGCGCCCACGGCCGCTGCTGTAGAGGGAGAAGCTTGTGCTTCGGTTTCGGCGGGGTCACCCAAGAGCGGCATGCCCGCTGCAAAGGAGGTCGTGAAGCATCCAGAAGCCGCTGATGGGAGTGAGGACAGCTCGCCGGGGTCTGGGATGCTGCAGCGCCGCGAAATCGACATGACTGGCCTGAGCGCCACCCAGAAGAAGAACCTCAAGAGGAAGCTGCGCAAACAGGAGCAAAAACAACAGGCAGCCGAGCTGAATGACGCAATGCAAGTTGGTGCGAGTGCAGCCAACTTGGCTTCGCGCCTGAACAATATGGTGGAGCAGTGGGGGAAACGGTTGGAGGAGTTTGAGGCCAACATCTCGAAGGGGAGCAACTTGAAGCAGACTGTTGAAGCTGCGGAGAACCTGATGACGGAAATGCAGGAGACGCAGGATGAGGAGGTCGGCCGCGCAAAGAAGCCCATCAACAAGCGCGCCACAGTGCAGCAGGTGCAGGAGAGGATAAGGGAGGCGGAGTTGACGATTCAGAAGCAGCAGAAGGAACAGCAGAAGCTATTAGGGCAACAGGGGAAGGTCGGCGCTGAGGAGAGGCAGGAGGCAGCTGCGGTGTTGCAGTCTCGCCTCGAGGAGTCTTTGCGCTACATAACACACCTCAAGGAGCAGTTGGTTTTGACGCAGCAGCAGAGTGACCTGCGTACATTCCAGCAGCAGGTTGCGGACCTGAGGAGGTCTCTTGAGCATATCATTAAGCAGGCTCGCAAGGCCGCGCAACAGACAGCCACAACTACAGACAACCGCCGTGTGCAGCTGTTGCGGAGAAGGCTGAAGGAGGTGGGGGCGACCCGTCCCGATGATGGGGTAGTTTCTCCTCTGGCAACTGTTAATGTCTCGTTGCCTCCTGAGTCTAACTACATCCTGTTGACCCCCCAAGGTCAGCCATCCTTGTTACTGCGCAAGGTGGAACGCAAGTTCAGTGTGGTGACGGAGAAAAAGGGGGCAGGTGATCGCGGAGTCACTCTCAGCATCATCTCATACTCCCCAGATGCATGCGAACAATGTGCAGCTTTCTTGAGAGCATGCAACTTCCCTCAAGTCCCGCTGGGTCTGAGCACCTCACCGAACTGTGTTTCCCTTGAGGGGCAGAATATAGGTGCCTTCATCGGCAGCGGTGGCGCCAACCTCCGCCGTCTGGAGGCCGAGTTGGATGTTCTCCTCTGGGTAGAGGACACGTGGATTACCGTTTTGGGGCATGAACCCGCTGTCAAGCAGGCAATTCCCCGCATCAAGGTGAGGAGCATTGCCAACAGTCAGAGCATACGTAACCAACGATACCTTCGTATATATATGAACATGTGCGTGCTGCATTTGAGTATATATGTATGTATGTATGTATCTATGTATATGTATGCATAAGTATACATGTTGGTGTCCAGGTAGGTAGCATATTTATGTATTCCACGGACAAGCGTGCAAGCAGCTCCCACCCGCCGAGCTTGGTGTTGTGCATGCTCTTTGATTTTACTACATGTATGCGTATTATTGCTGTATGAACGTATAGAAAACATTTGGACTCATCATCTGAGCATCCGATTGTGGATCTGCAATTGTTCCTTCAGGAGTCGCGGTCGCCTCCATCGGCAAGCGACGCCTCTGTGCCTCAGCACAAATGCGATTTCGAGGCGGAAGTTGTTCGCGCGATGGCTCAAGGCACTTCGAAGACGCGGGCGAAGATCCAGGAAGTGGAGAGTTCTTTAGGAGTGACTGTGTTCGTGAGGCCGCTGCGTCGCGGTGACACGAGCAAGACAGCTTCTGTGGTGGTGAGGGGCTCAGACCCAGAAGCATGCAAGAAGGCCTGTGCAAGTCTGGAGAAAACCTTCAAAGAATTCGCATCCGAAGCTGTAGAGTGCGATAGACTCAAGGCCAACAGGATCCTTCGTGGGGCTGCCGTGGACTTCTCTCACATCCAGTAAGTTTATACAGCTCAGCCGTGTCGCACCGTGAGAGTTATGAGTGCAATGTAGATTCGTCGTTACACAAGTGGTTGGTGGGTGTGTGCATGTGTGCTGTAGGGGATATGAACTGATCTCCTTGCTGCGGTACGACGATGGAGTGCTGTTGGTGGGTCCTTCAAAGGCACTTCCAGCAGCAGCCGAAGCGTTGCGTGCAGCTATGGATCAGCTCGCCCGTGCGACGGAATCTGTGGAGATAAAGTCAACACAGTTGCGCATTCTGGACCGCGCGAAGAGGGGCGAAATCGAGAGCCTTAGCGGCGCTTCTTGCAGGCCACCCGTTGATGATGGAGAGAATGCCACCCTGACATTCACGGGCCATCCTGACGCCGTGCAGAAGGCGCTAGACTTGGTGCGGCAAACGCTGGAGGAGCTGAAGGAGGTGGAGATGAAGTTGTCGCTTGCTGCTGCTCTCCTCTTCCTTGCGGAAAGGACCCATCTTGAGCTTGAGGAGGAGCTTGGTGTGCGCATTCGCGTGGATGTACCGAGGAATATGCTTCTTGTGCGCGGCGGAGTGGACAACTACGACGCCATTGAAGAGGCAATCAAGAAGGTGGAAGATGAAATCACTAGCAGTGGCAAGGTAGCTACGACTATGGCGGTCCCCCGAGAGGCGGTGCCTATGATTCTGGGCCGCCATGGTGCCAATGTCCGTCGTCTGCAAAGCGATTGCAACTTAGACAACATCGTCATAGATGGCCGCCCGCAGGCGGTGTATCTGTTGGGTTCCCAAGCTGCAGTTGATCAGGCCATGACAATGCTGAAGGATATCGTTTCGAATAGCACCGGCGGACGGGCACAGAATGGGCTGGACGGAGGTAACAGGCGCCCAAGAGTAGGTGGCAGAGGAGCAGGTCGCGGAGAGAGAGTTGATGGGGGGGCACGCGTGGAAGATGCGGGCGCCTCTAGGAAACGAGGTGGTGGTGCCAAGCAGGCGGCGCCTCCCAAGCCCTACAACGCGAATGTAGACGACGAAACAGCGTTCCCCTCGCTGGGTGTTTGCATGGCGCGTCCGGGTGGCCGCTGGCAGAAGAAGTCACCAGCCCCAGAAGGTGCAGCAGCGGAGCCGCCTGCAGAGGCGAGCAGTGAAGCTGTAGCAGCGGAAGCAGAGGAGGAGTTCGCTGGCGTTGACGAAGGTGCGAATTAGTTGAAGTATGCGTCGGCGCATCCATGGGCCCGCACTGTGTGAGTGCAGATGAGCACAACGTGGTATAGCTTGCATCGTGCGCGCGTATGGTGTAAGGTGGCAAGTGAACGCTTGGCCATAATCTGAACGAGGGTTTGTGTGCTGGCGCTGCGAGCGTGGGCAGCAAGTCGTCCGCTTGCTGCTCCGCGAGCAGCTCGACGCATTCCCCCAAATGCCCCTACTCAGCCAGCATGGCGTCCGGTCATCCCCAGCTGGCTTGTCTTCCAGCTCGCAGGTGCAGAGAGTCGATCAACTCAATTTTCATTTGAGGGTTGATTGCTGCTCCTGCAGATCGCGGCCGCTTAGCCAGGCTGAGCAGCAGCGAAAAAAGGAAGCAATGCATCATTTTAGAAGTATTGGGTATTCCAGTAGAACTGACGAAGCTTCAGCAGATGACAAACAGCCCGCCTCCGCTGCTCGATACTCGCGCAGCTCCTTTTTGTCGCTTCTGGCGGCCGCAGAAACCGGCCGAGTCAATTGCTTACTGCGTTCCCCCGAAAATTCAGTGTGCACAGTGTGTAGCGCTTTCAAGTCAATATTGCTCTAGTTGCTCGTAAAAGGCAGAGCTGCAGAAACTACTAAGTAGCCTTACAAACCCAGCGTAGAGCCGGTTACAGCTTAGATGCTGTGCAGATCCTGACCGCTATAGTGCACAATGTCTGTGCCCGGGGTTAGACGTCAAAGGCCCCGGTTATTATTATCTACCCCTGTTCTGTTGAATGCGGCATTGGGCGCCGCATGCGGATGAAACTTCCGGGAGGGTCCCGTTTCGTCCTCCAAGCCGGTCGGCGGCTGAAGGGAATACAACGGAAGGGCAGAATCTGCTGAGCCGCTGCTCCTGAAGTGCGCAAGCATGCAAACGCATAGTAAGCGGTAAGTGCTACACAGTATCTATGCCGCGGCGTAGGCTGAACATTGGTGCTGTGCTATTAGATGAACGTGGTTAGGTTGTCGTAGGTTATCTCCGAAGGGTGCAACGGCTCACCATAACTTGAGGCAGCCCGAAGTCGTGCAGCATGTATCGTCTTTCTGCCTAAAAACGACCTTAAACTTCCGTCCGCGTGAATCTTCTGAGTGCTGCACTAGCTGTTTATTGCTGCACAGCTGAAGGGGGCAGCCCCCTGCGGCGCCCTCTTGTTCGTCATTTGCCACTGGGCGCTTCCACGGTACTCGGAGTGGCGGTTCTGCATCTGACGCGCCGAAGGCCGGTGCATCAGACGTTCCGACACTTTTATTGACCTGCAAATGCTGCTCCGGAGGCATATCGCTTGAGTTGAGGACTACCGACATTATTATTCCGTTGCGGAAAGCGACCATATCTTGCAGTTCCGCTATCTGCTTCTCCGCAGACGTTAATGCTTCTGTGAGCCTAAGCTCTGCCGCTGCAGCTTCTTTGTGCGCCGCTTGCATTTTCTGTTCCGTCTTCTCCAGAGCAGCCTGCAGCTCCGCAGTTTCGGATTTACTCTTTTGCAGTTGTCTGCTAAGTTCATCAATCTTCTCCTGAGCTTCACGGCGCTCAGCAATCGCTGAATTGCGCTCACTCGTTAGGGTTTCGGTTTGTGCGGTGGCCGCACTAAGCTTTGCTTCTGCCTGCGCAAGCAGCTGCTTCAGATGAGTATTACTGCACTCCCATGCCTTCGTATCTTTGATCCGAGAGGCCCTTATGTCTTCTAACTCAAAAAGGGCTCCCTCCATTGCCTCTGATGTGGCTTCCAGCAACCGGCTGGCTACTCCTCGTGGAGGATCGTGACGATCATCTAAGACAGTTGCTTTATCCGCTGCGTCTGCTGCAGGGGCCGCTGCACGCAATGGAACAAACGGGAGGACGCTCCTGCGTCTGCTGCGGTTCTTATTTGCTGCAGGCGTTGGGTGGTCGTTCGAACCTTCGGCTGTTGCAGCAGGTGGTATCCTTAAGTCCTGTGCAAGTGTCGTGACTGAAGGAGACCGCTTAGCCGATGAAAAAGGTGAGAGTTTCTCCATAAGGCTGCTGCGAATACGCCCCCTTGGGGTTTCTATAGCCAATGCCGTGCCCACTGGAGAGTCCAATGAGGCGGCATCCGATAGTGCTCTATTTGCACCCATTGTTGAGCTAAGCATGGGATCTGGACGCGCAGCAGAGAGTTTGCGTTGTACAGGTGACCGTGGCGTTTCCGCCACCGTGATATTCTTGATTACACCCTTCAACTCGTTGATCAGGAGGTCTTTCTCCGACGCTTCTGTTCGCCAGCGAGCTACCTACAAATATCCGACGAGAAACGTTTCGGCACAATAACGTATAGAGTATGCTAATACAGCCGTACACACTCCCTACGGCGTTCTCCCCATCGCGGAGCAAGGTGTTTCCTCCTATACTTTGTTTGTTTCGAACTTATTGCCGTTCTCCACACACCCAATTCGCCTGCCAAACAAACTAATTGACACTGCTGGTTCCTCACCTCTTTCTGTAGCTCTTCATTCTCCTTCTTTAGCCAGTCATTGCTTCTGTGCAGACAAAGACGCAAACATCTGGAGCCTGCTGGGAGTGAGTGCAGCCATGAGACCACAAAACGTACACGAATTCAAAGCAGATGCCCACAACGAGATCTAAGCTGCTACGTTGAATGACCTACGAAGCTCGTTTGCACGGAACTTCCGTCTTTTCTTCAACCTCTCGAACCGCCACTGGTTGCGGCGGGTTGTTTCCCCCCAACTTCTCAACGCGGAGGCGCAAACTGTTCAACTCCACCTTCAGCATCTGTGCCACGCCAAAATGACATAAGGTGCTGCAACCCTGGGTTCAAGACAGCGTCGTGATACTCAGCAACCTCTGAGCACTGCTCCTCCTCTAAGCTCAGTTTACGTTCCCGTCTACTTCCAGCCTATGTGCCTACCATAGACCCAGCCACTCGGTCACACAAATCCAGTGATTATATCCAGCTGTTTGTGGTATTTGTAAATCATCACAAGATGTGCGAAAAAGGCTCACGGCGTTTTCTCCCTCATATATGTCCAAGTTTTTCGACACCCTCCGTTGTTCATTTAGCTGTTTGACTTTATCCCTAAGTTCGGCTTGTAGGTCTTCGGATTCTTCGAGCTGCACAAAAAAGGTGCACACTTTGTCAAACTTTACAAGAACCTCCGCAAAAGCAAACTCCTCAACAAATGTCTCCCTAGGTGTGGTAGTTGCTAAAACGATGCTATCCAACAATGCGGTGGAGCTGTCATCATGCAAACGCTTAACTCCGATCCCTCTAGTTGACGCGAGTGATTCATTAACAATAGCACGAGCAGGCCGGCTGCAAGGCCAGCAACTGTTTCTGCCGAACACATCTCAGAAGGCTTGGGTTGGAAGCCACTTACCAATTTATCATTACGTAACCGTTGTCGTTCTACCTTTTCAGACAGCATTTCATTGCTTTTGCGCAGCTCTGTAACCTGTTCAAGGTACACGCACTACACACACAAAATGTGTCAAGTTGTAGAAGCAACAGTTCCTTAAAATGTCTTAATTTACTAGCAGGACACAATGAACTGCAAAACGCATAGCAATGCAGTTCTGTTGTATATATCTATAATAAGTGTTGATTACCTCCTGGGTTACGCTATGCAGTCTCGGCGCAATATCCGTGGACACCATTTTGTAAATGTTTTTGATGAGCGTCATGAATGCAGTTCCCTCTCCACCCCCGTCTTCAGAGAAAGTCTGAACAGCTGAGCTCGGTAGTCTCCACATGTGTGAGTCACGAGCCCCCCAGGATTGTCTGCTGCGGGACGGTACTGCATCGTAACCGCACCAGAAACCTCATAATTCCAAATGCATGATAAAACTCGAAATGTTCACAGCTCGCGTAATGTGCATGTGTACCCATCTTCTGAGACTTCCCGAGGGCTTACGAGGACAAGAGTCAAGAGAAGCTGAAACGTTCAATTCAGCAGTTGGGAGCGGCGTGTCAGACCAGCTTCGGTGACAAACATCGCGTGACTTGTTGTTGAGCATCTTCAGGTCCGCGTCAAATCCTCTCAGCAAGTCCTCTACTTCTGAGAGCATTGCCTGTGCAAGTTCGCGTCCTTTGCTCCTGTATGTCGAGAGTTCATTTGTCTGCACCGAGTCCGCCGATGCGCTCGAAGAGAAACGTCCCAGAGACGTGCTTCCAGAAGGAGAGCCTGGCATCTTTAGACCCCCGTTACAAGAAATCACATACAGTAATATACGGCCACTAGAGCTCTTGCTGCCCCTCGACCAGGGTAGTGAAACAGTTTCTCACGAAAATGATGGGCGGTATCCGCCCCAGCCCATGACAGAAAACAGCCACTGCGTCCCCCCTTTTCTGTGGGACTTGAATTGATGCCTACTGAGCAAGAGGATATTCAATTGAAGGTACTGCCGGCAGCATGGAGTGCCGTCAAGAGGTTCTGCCCCTCCTCGGCAAACAGGGCCAACCAGCACACAGTTGGTCCTAATACAGTTCCTGCAGAGTGCATGCGCATGCAAAGGCACCCTTTCAGAAATCAACTTGTCTAGAAAAACTAGCATTCCCGTCTCTTGTTGACTGACTGTGCCAGTGTACAGGTTCAGTCTCCAGACCTTAGCTGCCACACACCCCGGTCATACGGTCAACGAAGCACCATTGAATTTGAGACGAGAAGGATCAAGTTAAAGCCACTTTGACTTTCCATGTATGATTAAACAACAGCCACCGAAAAAGTGTCATCATCCGAAGAGACGTAAGTCTCTTTCACTGGGATTTGTGCCAGTGGCTCTCTAGCACTTTTGGAAGCAATGGCTTCTCCGCTCCTAACTCCTCGTATTAGGAGGAATAAATAGCTAAATAATTTAGACTACTTCTAACATAAACAAAGGGCTCTTTCATTTATTAGTAACGACAGTTTAAGTGGGGGGAGGTCTACCGCTCGATTGCAAAACCATCGAACAGAGCGGTGCCTCGAGATACTAGGAGCCCGAAGCGGCCCTTGTCTAGTCAAATTAATATCTATTACAGCATATATTATGACGTAGCTTTAGCTTTTTCTCACCTTTATACGGTGATTGATAGGAAAGAACTACCCTACTATCCACCAACATTACCAGTGGTGCTTCCTCCCCGGAATCATCCTGATGGCCAGTTGGCACAAGACACCTTTTCTTCTTCAATGCATAGTCTTACTACAGTAATTTCATGCCGAATAGAAGGGTTTATGTATAAGAGTGGAGCTTCCGCCAAGTTGGTTTGTACCCCGTCGCGAGTGATAGTCAAACTGGCGACCTGCGCAACATGAACATGCTGCGACCTTGCAACAAATGATCATCTAGCTCACCCGTCTGCCGGTGTCTAGAGTTGCTGCAAAGTAGTCGGTTTGTCCTTTTGAACGGAATATTAATCCTGCGACGGAGGCGTCGCCTAGCCGGACGAAAGCAGTAATGCGTGCAACATTGCATTCGTGGCCCTTTAGCAATAAACTCGTCGGTTCAGACACTACGCGTGTGTATGTTGGATGCTCAAAGATTATTTCTTATCCCTCCAACTGAACAGGGTCTTACACGGCATCATCGTAGCAGGAGTCAGTCGCATGATTCCTAGTTCTGAGAGATTCTGCCACTGCACGGGATTCTCCCAGTCTGTTGCTTTTTCTTAAGTCGTTGTTATCGCATCAACTGTATTGTATCGTACCTTCGAGTGACATTGCAGGATTGGCGTAAGTCTCGCACAGGGGGGCAACACCCGCTACAGGCCGGTGAGCAGGAGCAGGGCCGTGAGCCTGGTACTGTCGTCCTGCTTTGTCGACAGCCAAACCGCTGACGATCCTGTCACCGGGAGTCTGTTCGCTTTCTGCAGTCTCTTCAACACGGAAGAGCTCATTCTGAAATAATCGAATACGGTGTATCCACTCCTCATCTGCGCAGCAACATTGTTACCAACCTCTGCTGTGTGCGCGCCTGTGAATGTTTCCTGCACGGGTTCTACTTCCACCACAGGGTTTTCTGACACAGGGTAAAACGGAACCCCTTTCCGTGCAGTGGTGTACTCGAGATCTCTTGTTCCATACGGAACTGAGTCGACGCTTTGGTCATCATAATTCTGAAATAATTCTCCCATTTCTCCGATGGCTGTATGCGCAATCCCAACTCTTCTCTACCATACCGCGAGCCATGGTAGTCGCTGGCGGCGCTCTCGTAGTACATCCTGACTCGGGTTGCATATTCGTTAAAAGAAGCAAAATTTTCCTGTTTTCCACCATACCTGCGGAGTAGTAGATTTCTGTTTCGACCACAAAGTCCACGCCGAGGCGCGTGTACACCAGCAAGCCGCTGTTGCAAGCGTCAAAGCCAAAGCAAACAATACACTTATCATTACGGGACACTTCCAACTGGATATAGCCGCGTAACTATGTGTATGCCCTACAATATCGTTAGATGACGTTCGTAGGATGCTGTCGAACAGCATCCTATTACCGTCCAGACACCACAACTATGCATGCAATCTCGCATTTTTTTTGAAACACCAAGAAATACGTAATAAGAAGCGACAGTGTTCGAGGCAAAGAACTATACAAAGACCGCCACCGTATGCCACTGGAAATGTCGCTCCTCAGCCTCGTTGTGAGGTGCTCCGGGGCAACAACAGCGCTTACGGGGCGCAAAAGTGTGGCAAAAGTGGTGAGAGGCCTCGTTTAAAACATAACACCACGCTTCAATATCTCGTGCATGCCCCTTAGCAATTTATAGTTAAGAAAGCTCACGTGCAGCCAGGCGTGTACTGCAGGACCTTCACATCACGCGCATCCCGTGATGGGCAGTGCCACCGAAAGGGCTTGTAAAGGCGCCAACGGCGCCAAGACTGTACATCACTAAAGCATGTTCATGCCTCTGCAGTATCAGATTCTTCGCCAGCCTGCGCACCACTTATTTCTTTGCTGTGAGGAGCCGGCGAGTCTGAGAGGCCCGAGCCGTCGGAGATGGCCGCATCGTCATCGCTCGACTGGTGGTGGTTAACGTGGATCCCGATGAGTGACTTCTGCAGCCAAAGACGTACATATGATGTATATACGTATATGCATGAGGCATGCAACAGGATCATTCCTGTCTTGCTGGCAGCAGCAGTTATAGGCATATATGCTCATGACACAATGCAGAACCATTCGCATAGATTCCTCACCATAGGTTCGAACTTCCTCGCAAAACCGCGCAGTAGTCTGTGGGAGCGGCCCCTCCAGGTGTCGTATGTTTGGTGAATGCTATTGCGCAGTTTTTCAACGCTTTCATCAAAATGTACACCCTGAGGAAACAAAAAACAAAGTAACAGTCGGATGCAGAAAATACAGGCAACTGCCATCAATGCGGAAACACCAAATTTCTAATATAATTCCTTATTACTGACTGCAGCACCAGTGGCTGCATGAACTGCAGCTGCAAACCCTTCAGTTCTTACCAGCGGCCGGTCCGTCAGCGTGACCTTCGTCAGCTCGTCCGAGACCTTCTCTCCCCACCGCTGCATATTTTTCTTCATCTGCAAACAGAGAACACTCGCAAGCAGCAGCTGCTTCGATTGCTACCAGCAGCCGACAACCAGGCTAGCTGCTAGAACTAGGAAAAAGTATCATAAGACGCACCTTTATTGCATTGGCCTTCGTGTAGCCTATATTCATATCTCTTGGCTTCACACCGCGTGAGAGCGATCTGCACCAAACACCCACAAACATACAATGCACCAATACGATTGAGGTGTCACATAGACTGCTGTGCGGCCTTGTGAGGAAGTTTGAACCCGTGACGACAGTTGTGCGTGTGATTCTACTGTGTGTCATCAGCAGGTGTCTAACTGCTGCTACTGGCCCGACAGAATTGACTCCGTTGTATGTCTACTGTACATGGATATAATATACCCCCGGCATCACAAGAAGTAACAGGACCACTAGGAAGGCCAATGCATAATCACGCAGCACATACACACCTGTCCACATAATCCTCGTAGTTCTGAAGGATGCGGACGATGATATCCGTCGTTGAGACTCCCTGGGTGCGGACAGTTGCCCTGAACTTGTTCTGAAAAAAAAAACAGCGAGGGAGAACTACTTCCGGGTAAACGGAAATGGATGGAAAAGTAAAAAAGCGAGAAGAAACCTGGCACGAAGCAAAACAATATGTTCTCTGAAACAAATGAAGAACACGTACGCTGTTCTTAAGCCAGCCGTATATGTCACCACTTTCCGCCTCCGTTGGGCTGTTGTTTTTCCTCCTCTTTCTGTCGTCTTTTTTCTTGTCCTTGCATTTTTGTATAGCAGAGTAAGGCTCAGCATCATGAGCTGACAACAACACGGACGCAACACCCACACTCTTGCTGGCCGATCAGCCGTTCCACACTCCGTCTAATTCACTCGTGCCATCCACAGCCTCCCCAACGTCTACGCGAGGTCAACCACAAGCACTACAGCCCTCACTAAAGGGTAAAGCCGAGATATGACAACCGACAGAAAACACTGATTGCTTGAAGCGCTGCTGCTTACCGACGTAGTCGATGCGGTGCTTCTCCACGAACTCAGGTGTGATGATCCATGGGCACGGAGCAATAACCTCGTCTACCCACTTAATGTGACGAAGGGTTTCAGCTCGTTCTTCTAGGCTCTGCACCGTTTGGCCTTTTAACCGGTGGGTCTCTTCGTCCGAGGCTACACCCGCCATTAAGTAAACATGCTTGAACATCTTCTTCGCCTGCTCCAGCTGCCGCATGTGGCCAAGGTGCAGGAGGTCGTAAACGCCTGCACACAGGCACACACACGCATACACACACATACACACATAGGAGAGCAAAAGTGAGAAAGCCATACACACTGAAAAGGCACATGCACGGTTGCGACCACTTCATCCTCAACCCTGAACCTGTGCCGCCCTCTTACCATCTGTGTAGATTCGGACCGGCCTGTTGGGGTCCTCCCCTTCCGCAAGCTCCACAGGGGCAGTGCCCTGGGAGTCAGGCTGCGGAGACGGGTCTTCGGTGGCCTTGCGCTTCTTCATAGAGGTCTTGAGGAGGGCGGGCCGGGCGGAATTCCCTGTCGCCCGTGAGGTCAGCTCAAAATACGGAGGCGCAGCGCAGTGGGTTTGAGCTCGCCTGAGCTCGCTGAACGCCGCTCAAGTGCAAAGGGCAGTTCAAGAAAGAAAAGCGCAACTGCTATTGCTGGTTCACAGCCCCAGGGGTGGCTGCTCTGCTCGTTTCGAGCTGGAGACCCTTAGCGCCCAGCTAGCGAATCAAGGAACTTGGCATTAATGTAGGATGGAGAATTGTGGGTTGTGGTCTCCGAGCCAAAGAACGCTTTGCAAGGAACCGCGCTAGATATGCATCAAGGGTAGGTGTCCGAAGGGCCGGCAGACGCGCCCATGCAGTGCCTCTACCCCTACGCTGTGTTCGAGACAAGAATAAGCAAAAACGAATAATAATGGTGATAAAAGCACCTAAAGTAAACTTCAGGGACTTCGGTACAAAACAAACACGAGCCCTGTTGTCGGCAAGGCACCGGCAGCCCTACTGGGGCTGAAGGGTCGGTATTGCGCGTTGGTGATAGCGATCAAGTTATGATTTTCTTTAGAGGACGAAGAGATGCAGAAGGCAGAAGTCAAATTGTTGGTAGAGACGTGATGGCTCGCAGTCGTCGGCAGCACAGAAGATGGAGCTTTAGTCCTTAACCAGCATGTACTACGCAGCTCGCACTCGGCTGCGACTACGTGAGTCCTCTGATCTAGCTATATGGTGCACCTAAATTGTTAGACACGAAAACTCGACTCTTACCCTTACAATATCCCTAATCGAATTTATAAAACCAAAACACAAACTCCAGCCCTAATATATGCAAAAAGGAGATCCAAAATAGATCTGTCTCGCCCAGACCCCTGAAGCTGGGTCAGTGCCTCAGCGTCCCAGCCAGCCCCACGACCGTAACGGGCTACTGGAGCTCAAAACCGGCTAGTTGTATTGCGTAAAAATATGCTCTAAATTATCATTTACACTAACACAATAGACAGCTAGGAGTTTCACACGTTGAACCATTGTACTGGCTCTGCGCTACAACTACCCCCCTCCTCTGTCTGAATTTGCTATAGTAGATTCTCTTGTTCTCAAATCCCCAAGTATCTAGCACTTTTCTATCTGCCTCTTTTGTGGCTGTTTGGGGCGTTCCGCGATACTGGACTAGTGGGGTGGGCTACATCGTCACCTAGCTTGAGTGTGTACGCAACGAGTCTCCTGCCCCGTTCCCATAACCGTTGGGGTCTGTATTGGTGTCCCACTTATGCATGCGACCGTCTCCGCGTATCCTATTCCTTGATCGGGTTCTCTGTGTAATATATATTTGCTGCCTCGGCTCACTTGTAGGCCCTTTCTGTTCTCTGCTCTGCTGTGCGCGACTGCCGAATGTAGTGTGTTTATGTTGCACTTCTTGAATTCCCCGCTCCTTTAGGGGTGGGAACGAATGACCTTTATGACTTAATGCGCATAGTTGTGGCCATCGTCTCCATGCACATGCTCGCTTGGGTGTGTGACTCCCAAGCAATGACAGGGAGAGAGGGCGGCGGGTAGCTAAAAGGGAAGCGTGGAAAGCATCATGGCAGGAGTACGTTGGATGGCAATGGGATAATGAAAAGCACCGATGCATTCGGTGGTCGACAAAAGGGCCCACGGTGTCGGGGTACGAATGTTGGACAGTTGTTGAAAGCAGGGAGCTATTTTCTGCTGAGCTACACATTGTCCCCTACAGCGTATTCCAGTGCCCGCCGCATCGAATTCGCGTAGGCTTCCTGGTGCCATATTGCCCGCAAGGTGTGACGTGCCTGGAGTATGGAGAAGATACAGGGACTTTAAGCAAGAGGAGCTAGCTTCCGATTGAGTGCAACAACGAAAAATACCATTAATGGAAGACGTTCCGCATGTGACCACAGAGGTTTCTAATGAGTAGTTGCTATCAGACCCCCCACCAGGGGAAAGGCAATCAACCAATAGGCGGCAAGGTCTTGGAGAGTGAAATAAGTAGCGGAAGGTAGAAACTAGCCAGCGTGTGATTGAGGACCAGCACACTAGGGAAAGAAAAAATATCGAAACGAGATGCTACTAATAAGGCTGCATACAAACTTGGGAATATGTTAGTTAATAGGATCCATGGATAGGGGCTTTGAGAGTGCCGGCACCAACAAGTAAATGCTACGAATGCACACCAGAAAGCAGCCAACGAGCTCGGCACTCACGTAGCGGTAAGCGAATACCGACCGGCAAATGCCCCACTTCGGCAGCACACGGTCACATATTTCGGAATTTCAGGATCACAAAAAGTGCCTGGGGTCTGAATGAGCAAGGTTTTCAGCACGGCATCGAGGGGAGCCATTGGAAGCGTACGAGGTCTCCATGACGCACCATTATGGACAGTGGGCCAAGTACTTTTGGGTCTCACTATGGCTGTCGAGAGAGAATCAAAAACTTATTGAATTTCCTACAGCTCTAAGGCGTGCATGCTCCTGATTGGGCTTGACTGAGCATGCAGATGGAATTGCCACTGGGCAGAAAAAAGAACAAGGTGTACCGCAAACCATGAGCACACAACACCACGTCGCACATTCCCCAGTCCCGTTTGCCACTGAACTCATGAAGCCTGGAAACATGGAGGAAATGTTCAATGCCTGCTTCCCTGGAAATCCTCATTTGAATGAAAGAGCTGTCGTAGCATACAGTCCGTCGGAAGGTTGCAAGCCTGCATGAATCCTTACTCATGAATCCTCACTATATCTAACTATGCAACCTGTAAGCAGCTTAAAAAGTTTTCAATAATTGTTTACAGTTTTCATGCGCATTGTCAAGTAGGCGTGGTTGTGTGTGCATGCGGGGCTCTTACTGCATGGATAGCTACAAGGTTTGCTTCAACTTATAAAAGACTAATTGCCCTTTCGCCTCTCCGGGCTGTTGTTCCTATGCATACATGACTCTCGTAACACAAGGGAGGGAGGTTAGCTACGGAAGTTCCCATTGTTTCAACTCCAACTGGCAGTACTTCTAAGCCAACCGCGAGGACTGGAGTTGCAATTCTAGTAGAAGCAGCCGAATATGCGTGACCGGGTGCAAATATCAAGATCTGCGTCAGACTATTTGAGTTATATATTCATTTTTAAATCACTGTAAGCCCTTCTCAACACTAACTTATCATATAATTGAACTCGCCTTCCGGGCGGCCCCTGGATCTACGCGTTGGACCACTGTGTGCTGCAGTGGAGCGGAAACACTTGACAGGGGGATTGCTTAAGGACAATTTATATTTATTTATAATACAATGAACCCAATATCTTAGCCTCTTAAGGTGTCTTTTGTTCGGAAGAAGGAGGCACCCATCTAGATGCAACGCACCTTCTGCAACTCGAGGTGCGAGAAATCCCCTCATATATGAATAAACGAGGATTCGTAGGAACATATGTACAAAGATTATATAAAATTACTTAAAAAGGTTATCTGTGTATCGTTTATCTACTAGGGCAAAGGATGGGTTATAAAGTTGTTACTACAGACAGGCATACACGCATAGCCGCAGAGTATCGATACAATGCGACGTGCACCAACGTACGTGTGTGTGCCGACCTTCTTTCTTGTATTATATCTTATTTTTCTTATTTTCCAAACTGATATTACTTAATTAGCACCAGGATTAACAAAAGAAGTAAGAGTTTACAGCGGCCAGAAGTATTAAGACCCCCCAGCGCGGTGACTACGCACAACCGGGTTTCTATAGGGATGATGATGTTTTTACCACTAAAATGCGAAGCATCTAAATAAAATAGTTAAAGAACAAAATAATAATAAAATATAAATAATAATATACATAATAAGCAGCTGCTTTTTCTTATTTTGGTTCTTTTGTACAACAAGAGCACCCTCTCTCCTCCTCCGCACTCTCGAGAGAGCAACAGATGATGGTGCGGGCTTCCTCCCCACCTGCAGGTAGATGAATAACGTAGATAAGTAACCAGTTGCCGGCATATTGTCTTTTCTTTTTTATTTATTTTCTATTTCTATAAGGACGTTTTTATTGCCACTCCCCCTTTACAAACTCCCCGTGAAGATGACGAAGTAAGCTATATATACATATACATATAATATATATAGGTTGTTGTGTGTTCTTTATGTATGGTGGGGTGTTGTTATATGTATTGATATTGTTTTTGTTGTCTTCTTTAGTATTTTTTTATATATTATAAATATATAATGATAAAATAATATAAATTAATTATTTTTCTTTATGCTTTGTGTATATTTATTTGTGTTTACAGCCAGGAAGCATTGGGCAGCGCCCCTATTCATATTGGTGATGATGTTAAGTATAGTCCTAATGACTTACTTCTACCTAAACAATACCATAAATATATTGAGGATATAATTATCCCTAATGGACTTCTTATGGATCGTGTAGAGAAAATGGTAAGTTATTTTATTAATTATATATATAATATTATTTCTTCTCCCTTTTCCCTATTCAATAAAATACGAAAGCAGCAGCACGGTTCAGCACAATAATGAATATAGACTATATACACCAACCATCATGAATAATAATAATAATATATTTATTTATTTATATTAATATTATATATATATTTTTTTTCTATGCAGGCCTATGATATTCGCAAGGCATACAAGAATAAAGAATTACATTGTTTATGTTTATTAAAAGGATCAAGAAGTTTTTTTTCTGCATTATTTCAACATTTAGCAAAATTAAGTTTATATGATGAGGAAGCAACATGTCCACCATTTTTTGAGCATTATTTACGTGTAAGTTCTTGTGTAGGAACAGAAAGTACGAATAAATTGAAGGTAGTAAGCGATGATCTATCATGTCTAACAGGAAAAGATGTATTAATAGTTGAGGATATAATAGATACAGGATTAACATTAAAGGAATTAATAATATATTTACAACAATATAAGCCAAATAGTATAAGAATTGCAACTCTTACACTAAAAAGGACCAATAGGTCTAATGGACAGA